AGGTCTCACTGGCGTGGAAATGTAGTGAAATCCTGTAAAAGAACTGCCATGCATGGCCCACTGAAGGTATGTATAGTCTAGTATACTTTCTGATTGATAATAGTGACAAATCTTATGGAAAGAGGCTGTGATTCCATAGCCACCAAAAATGGGAGGATATGACTTCCCCTCCCTCCCTTCCCCAAAGCTCTTACACTGTCTCATCTCCTCCCTTGGACCAGCTTTGGCAATTACTGGTACTCAAAACACCAAAACTTACTATTTTTATTCTGAGGCTTGTTCTGTGTTATTTGAGTGAATTGCATAGGCTCAGGGGGGTCTGATGTGTGCTAATGTGCAGTAGGAGGATTGTAGCTAAGAACTGGAGGCTGGAAGGGAGAGCAGGAATACACCCATTGGTGGTAAGGGATTATTCAAATCTTTTTTGCCTGAGCAATTGGACAGGCACCTTAGTGCTGTGCTGTAGGAACTTTCTGGGGTTGAAGATAAATCAGCATCGTGACAGACGGTAAGTCTCAGTGGTCCTATTGGTCAAGATCATTGTTGTTCTCATTCTGAATTTGTTTCTATGGCACTTTCAGGAGAGTTGACTGGAATTCCCTGGGTTGTCTAAAATCATGGTTTTATTAGTTGTTATCATGATTTGTTTAATTTCTCCCTTTCATAAGAATTCTTAACCCTATCTCTTTGGATGCTATGAACATTAATGTCTTCAAAGACTATTGCTTTGCAGTCTCACGATCTTGTCTTTGTGGTACTAAGTGTTGTCTGTCTGCACTTAATGTTCTTGTCTTCAGTTTTCTAAGCATTGCTGAATAAGAAAAGTTGTTTCCACACCACCCCAACCCTCCCTAATTTTTGCTAAATTGAAATTTGTCTTTCACAAAAATATTTCCGAAATCCTTGCTTGAACAGTATTCTTCCTTAAATTGGTAGGTTGCTTTTAGTTGTGTAATGAGTGCCATACACTTGAAATCTTTTTTTCTGCATGTGGGATACTTCACTTGAATGTAGACGGAATGAGTGATGTAATAGCATGAGTAAACATAGGGGAAGTGATGACTATGACTAACTTGTCCCTTCTGCCCACCCATATTACTTTTTTCCTTCTTGCTTCGGTCCCTCTGCCACCGATAAATTGTCTCTTATTTTCAGTGAGCTGTGCTAGAGCAATAGGAGAAGTAAGTAGTGGGGAGAGAATAGAGAACTGTGGTGATCATGCTGTCTGATCAGTGAAAGGGTCCATTCATGGACAGTCATTGAAGGTTGCAGATAAGTTTTTGAAGTCTGCCATCTGGTCTGGCAAAGTACAGCATCACTCCTCCCTCCTAGCGTGACGGACTTCTTTATGTCTGTAAGCCAGTTTGCACAGCTGAGAGATTCTGACTTAGATACAAAGATAATGTGTAATTAGGCAGTTAGTAATGCTGCATGATTGGCAGTGGGGGTGGTGTTTTTTGGTTTTGTTGGTTTGGTTTTTTTAGTTTAAATTCATTGTTGTTTTAGTCTTGATGTATAAGCAGTGAAAATCATGATAGGTTGCAGTATAGAGTAAACGTTAACATTTCTTTTGGGGAAAACAAGGGAGCTTTGGGAGCATGACAGCTGGTAATGGTTGTGATGTAAGTTCAGCACACATAGACAGATTTGTATTGGCTAATAACTCCTGTGGGATAAAGTGGAAAACTTGAAATGGATGTAAGGAAAGACAAAGTTTGTGTTCCATAGCAATTTTGCCCTGATTCTTGTAGGACATGTCACTAAAATAATACTTACTACACAGTAGCACAACACAGATGCTTTCCTAACCATTAAAGATTATTGTAGGTCATGTTTTATCTGTGATTACTAAATATTACATTGTATGAAAATGCAGTTAACTGTTTCTGTATGCAGAGAAATCAACACATAATATACATGGTCTTTGGTAGGCAACGGTATCTTGAAATAGAGTTGGACTACTGAACTTCATCTACTATTTGCAGGTGATTTAAAGAACAGTTGTGATCTATTTTAGCTCTTGGAGGAATAGAGCATTATTGGACATTCTATTTTAG